TAAAATATGACTTTATTCTCATAATGTTATGACCTTATTCTCGAAAATGAAAAAAAACAAATCTCTAGCCTGGCCCTCATGTTTCCAAGTATTTAAAAGCTTGAATTTCTGTTATTTTGTTTGTTTCTGTGTACCTTCTGCTGATTAACAGCATGTTGTTTTTCCCTCACGCTGGCCCAGATGCTCTGTAAGGAACGATCTTTCATTGTAGAGCATCGCAATAAGGTAGACTTCAATCTGATCATGCATGTCACAGAAAAAACTCATGCCTGCTTTCTCCTACAGCTCTATATTAGAGATATTACATGTCAACTGCAATCTAAGAAGTGATTTTATGTTCTGAAAGGAACATAAAATAGTTTTATTTACAAGGGAAAAATGAAGATCAAATAAAAAATGCTTGGAGTTGTAAATGTTCCTCTATTCATGTGTCCATACTGTTTTGGAGTGGCTGAATACAGCCTGATGTGTTACTGGGATCAAATAGTATCTCATCAAACTGTCAACATTATGAAAGTTTTACTTTCTACTGAGAAATCAGAATTATTATAATTTATCACAGGAAGGACAGTATTTTCTTCACTTAGAACACTTTTTCTATCCATTATTTTCACAATTTTTCTTTATATCATACACTTGCCAGACAATTTCTGTTTTGAGAGAAAGTAACATAACAAGAAATCAGGAAACGTTGTACAGGCAGTGCAATGGGTTATAAGAAAAGTCGCAAAATGACATTTGAGATTTTGTCACATTGCATCTTTAAACTTTATAGGTATTGTGGGTTGAAAGACCCACCCTCTCCACTTGCAAGAGCATGTACAAGCCCATTTGTACTCGTGCACACCCTGTTTAAAATGTGCTGTTCTCTCATAGCTCATACAACCTTACTGTGTCCACATACACCCTATATAGTTGACTTTATAGATAAGTTAACTGACCGTTCGGACAGATGATCAGTGATTTTTCCTCTGTTGCTCACGTAACTCTTCCTACACTGCGCGGTGCCTGCACCATCTTTGTTATTAGTCGCTACTGCCGGATAACGACAGCCTATGGCGACAGCGGTTCCCATAATGCATTGCGCGGAGAGCACTCTGGGATATATCTGCCTCTTCTGAGGCTTTTCTTTTCTTCTCCTACACTTTGTAGACAGTTTTTCTCTAACGACCCTCGGCCATTTTCAAAGAAACGAGGTGAGAAAGGTGAGCTTCAATGACTGTCTGAAACCGTGGCTCACCACACATATGTGGCTGAAAGTGTGCATGCGCAGAAAAAGATGGCTAACAGGACTTCCAAAAAAAGAAAATGAAACAATCCACTGGACTTTGTTTCCAAGTTCGAAGACATTTTACTTCCCATTCAGGAAGCTTTTTTAATTTGAGTTTGTGTTGAGTTCGAGGTTTTAACGGGACAAGCATGTAGGACGGCCTTACATAAACATATCACCAGAATGATTGACAGTTAGGAGGACCACTTATTTAGATGATCCACCCGGAATTAAAAGATTGTCCCCTGTACCTTTAATGTATTTAAGTTGAATTTTATATTTAAGGACCACAGAAAGTGGAGAATTATTGGGACTTAGAAGGAACGTGATCCAAGTTTTCACACAAATATTCCCTTATTAAATTGGTTAAAAAAACAGTAGAAAAAAATAAAATGCAACAGAATCAAATAGAACAGGACAATAAAGAGACAGATCAGGGAGAAAGTCGTGGAGAAGGGTTGGGTTTTAAAACTAGTTTCGATATTCAATTTTCACTTTAATACGTCGGCATGATTGTCATCTAAAAATAAAAAGTAAAAGCACAACACCAAACCCACCAACATTTGACAGTCCACCTAAACTGACAGGATTGGCAAGAATTCATTTCTTACTTAAACCTAAACCTATATTTAGAGCTGCAAAAGATTAGTTTAAATCCATTTAAAACACTTTTTATCCAATCTATTCTGCACAATATTTACTCTGCAGAAACTTGTCATTCAATGTTTTGCACAAAATTGATTTGTGTTTGTTTATCCCAGTATAACACATTGTTTTTGCTCGTTGTAAGTTGGTTGTTGCGAACTGAGAAAATGTAAAAAAAATTATTTTCATCCTTTTTCCAAAGCATTTTATTTCCTCTGCATTAAAAAAAGTGACGCTCTTCACATGATAATGGAATGAGTTGCTGGTAAATAATAAAGACCTCCTTCTATTGGATACTCAAGGAAATGTCTCACCATATTTTCTGCCCCCCAGCATCTGCTGACTGCCAGGGATGCAGACAACGACTCCCTGAGGAGGTACAGCTGGACCGCAGACCCACTAGATAACGTCAACCTCGTCTCCTCGCCGGTCCACTCTGGGTAAGCATGTTTGGAAGGAAGAATTTATAAAGACAGGAGAACAAATGAGGGAGAAAATATCTGTTTTCTCAGTTTAACCATGAAAATGAGACAAATCTGGAAAGGTTGTTGAATAAGGGATAAGGTGGGAGGCTGGTTTCGTCCTGCCTGTGTTACAGTGTTTTTAAGATCTCTTTATAATTTCCATCTCTTTAACTTTTAGCCTGTCTGAACCGCAGCCATGATGTAGCTGCAGCTGAAATAATGTTTGGTTTTTTGGGAAATGGTTTGAATTTACTGAATAATCCACATTTAATTTAGACTGATTCCAACTTTTTTGTTGTTTAGAAACTTGGAAACACCATTATTGGTCAATTATAAAGCATTTCCCAGAGTTTCAGATTTCTTATTTTTCATTTTTTTCTGTCAGAGTGACAAATCTGTTGACCTGTTCCTCCTTGCGTTACTTTGTCGTTCATTCTGCAGTCTTTCCTCTCCGCTCCCGCAGTACGACAGCAGGTGATTTGACTGTGATTGGTTGCCCTCTATCACACCTTCCCCTCTCAGTTCACTCATAACATCTGTGTTTGCTTTCCTCACTCATCAACTGATGTTACACACGTGACACAAAGCAGGGGCATTTGTTGGTTGTGTTTTTTTGTCCTTTTGTTTTTATTTTCTAACTAAACTGAGTGACTATATGCCAAAAATATATCAATGGGATTATATATATATATATATATATATATATATATATATATATATATATATATATATATTTCTTTTTTTTTTTTTATTCTTTAATAATCTTATACTTCTTTTCCATGGTTTTTTGTAATCAGAACTATCTAGAAATTGATGTTTTAGCTAAAAGGTACCAGCATATGTTACACCAACTACCCATTTTTGCTGGAAGGCCTGTAAAGGTGAGAAGCAGGAGGCGTTCTTATTTGTCTGGCAATGTCAGATTCTCACATTGTTATGGAAAAAGTTTGGCCTATTTTTCTTACTTTTGCTTCAGTTTCATAATGTTTAAAGGCCTTTTTTATGTAAAGTCTTACTACAAGATAAGGAAATTAGTGAGTTTCTGTAAGACCTTAATAGTTGCTTAAACAATATTTGAAGTTTTTTTTTTTCACAAAGAGAAAATACTTTTACTTTGATAACACTTCATAAGAAATCCTTCACTAAATTTATTTCAAATTATTATTTTATTGACTTTACCTTTTCTATTGCAAATTTAATCCTGTAAAATCTTACTTTTTTTTGTTTGTTTTTTTAAATCTGCCGTAGTCAGTTTGCTAGAATGTCGACTCAGACGACAAAAATGGGAAATGTTTTTTATGTTTTCCAATTTTCCGTAATGATTTTTGAGACTGACCAACTTCTAAAAACGCTACCTTTATCCTTTTCTTTTTTTTTTCCAGCTTTTATTATGATGTTCCAGCTTTATGGTGATGGTCACACTTGCATTTAATTAATGCAGCTGTTTTGAAGCTTCTGGTTATTTTATTTATCTTCTTTTTTTTTTTTTTATCAATACTTTTGAGATCCATTTATGTATTGTGCATCAGCGTATTTATAAACTCTATATCTTATTTCCCTTTATTTATTTATATTACATAGGAGCTTAGAATATAGATGCATTCTTTTTCATCTTAGCTCCACAACAATTTCTGGTTGGAATACGTTTCACTAAGATAACTGGCTTGTTAGTGTTTGACCTGCTGATCAGAGCCGATCAAAGGAAAACTGGTCAATTCCTGTTTTTGGACAATTAATTTATGCATCTATGACTCTTTGTTTTTATTAATAACACCATAAAGTTCAAACTAACATGACATTTTAAACACCATGTTGCATGGTTTGGGTCTGTGTGAGTGTAAACTATTATTATTTATTGTGAGTTAGGGACAGAAATTATTTAATGCTTAACTTCCTTTTATGTAAAAAAAAAAAACACACAAAAAAGAGACTCCTTTGTTGGCAGCTTGAAGAAAATAAATTCAATGGTTACAGATGCACTTACTGGCCACTTTAATAGTAACCGCTTCTATATTATATGACCCCCCCTTTTTGCAAAACAAAAAAAGGAATTCACTTTTTTCTTTCTTTGCATTTGATTTGACAAGACTTTGCTCCAAAAAATGTTACCATTATGTGGTTGCTGCAGAATTATCTGCTTCACAAACTAAATGGAAATCTTCCATTTCACCACATCCCAAAGGGGCTCTGCTCAACCGTGATCTGATGCCTGTAGGGCCCATTGCACTACAGTGAACTCCATGTTACACATTTGAGGTCTGACATTTCCTGCTTAACATTGTTTACAGCCTGGAAGGAGACTTATTGAGGCTGGGAAATTAATCGACTTGATGTAGGTGAAGATTACATTTTTGAAAAATCTGGATTTGTTCCACTAAATCAGTCATTAGTCATCTATGACTCAGAGTTACAGAAGTTCATCACTTTTTATTCTTAGATGTGTACTCATCACAGATGAACCAGATCACTGTGTGATACACTAGCTGCTAAGAACTAAGGCTTAACCTTTGAGCCGCACTGCTAGGTCATTGGTTTTTTTTTTATAATCTTGAACCAAATTGTCCTCCTCTGACCTTAACCAGACGTTTTCTTCGACAGAATTGTTGCTTACTGATACTTTTCCTTTTCCATTTTCTGTAAACCAGACAAAATGGTGTCTAATGAAAATCCCAGTAGATCGCCAGTCTCTGAAATAGTCAAATTGGCCAATCTAGCACCGACAGTCAGAATCTAAAAGTAGCTTCCCATTCTGAAGCTTAGTTTGCGCTTTAAAAAAATTACCTCCACCTCATCTAGATGTCCAATGTTGCAAATTTTTTACTTGCTATTTTAAAAAGAAATTGAAAAGGTATACCTAATAAGATGGCCATTAAGTGTAAACTTAATGTTTGAGTTGGTGCTGTTTTTTTTTTTTCTTACTTTGGTTCCAGCCAACATAGAAGGCCTCTCACCTTTTTGTTCCCTTTACTGTTTTCTTTACACTTACTGTGAGTTTTTTATACGACCAAGCATGGGACACAACCTCACCTTAACTAAATCTTTTCTTTATATCGGCGCTACGATTAAAACGTGTTTTACGTATTACATCCCTGTTTCCATATTCTCTCTGCTTCTCCTGTCTTCGTCTTTTTCTTCTCTACTATTTTCTCTTCCTTTGTATTCCCAACTTCAGGTTCCTGGTCAGCTTTATGGTCGACGCCAGAGGCGGCTCGATGAGGGGAAGTCGGCACAACGGGATGCGCATCATCATCCCACCGAGAAAATGCACAGCCCCCACCAGGATCACTTGTCGTCTAGTAAAAAGGCACAAGCTGGCCTCCCCTCCTCCGATGGTGGAAGGAGAAGGCTTGGCGAGCAGACTGGTGGAGGTTGGACCGGCAGGGGCTCAGTTTTTAGGGTAAGGCTGCACTTTTCTTTATCTAAATCTAGTCAGTATCAGTTTCTTGGGAAACATCCCTCTCCTTTTGCTTGTTACATCACCATTTTCCGCCATGTAAGATAATATTTTAATGTGTGAATGAGTGCATTTGCATTTTGAGGAGAGATGTGTGCAGTTTTTTTTTTCCAGAATCTCTATCTTTGTGTTCAAAAAGGACACCTAAGCTCCCCATATACTTAGATGTCCAGAACAGACAGTGATAATAAAATCCTTTTTATCAAATTTGTTTATAACATTTAATATGCTTATCATTTCAAAACATTCAGTTAAACACGGATGAAAAAAACAATTGCCTTAAAAATTAACCTGGAATAATATTTACAAATTATTAGGATTATCCAAATAATAAAAATTTCTTAACTGCATATTAACAGGTTCTTGATATTCAGAAACTCAGACATTAGTGCCGTCCAAATGAGGCAGGAAAGGCCAGAATGGTTCAGGTCAATCCACAACTGTTGACTCAAATACAGGCATACTTGTAGATGTTTTAAGGTAACTCATCAGAAACACTATTTATTTTTGTTAAATCATGAAAAGAACATCTGAAGACATCAGATATCTGGAAGACATTGTGGACCAAAGCATAGCTCAGTCAAGCTTAACTTCAAAATTTTCTTTACCTTATAGTATGATGTTGATCTGTTTGAAAAATGATAGAGAAGTATGACAGTAGTAGAGCAATTGCATCTGTGCCCTTTGCTTCTATAATTGGGCACCGACGCTCAAAAGCTTGCCTGATGTCCACCCCCATTCTGCATTTTTTTTTTTTAACTCTAACAAATGTAATGTAGAGAAGAAACTATTTGTATTATTGAGCGACTATGATCTTGCAGTGCCTCAGCTCTGAATCACATGACTTTAACCGACTCCTCCTATTGGTGCAGAATCTATTTTATGTTGATGTTGACATTTTTCTATTTATTTAATAAGTTTTGTGGATTTACTATTTTTTTTACTTATTTGATTTGATGAAAATTTTGAAGCTTTTATCTTTAAGTCTAAATTTTAGAGTGTCCATCACAAAGCTCTGATTTGAGTCCCTTAAAGCATTTATGGACATGATCTGCAGAGTTGACAAGTTACAGCTGTTCAATAAGGAGGAATCGGCCAAAATTACAGCAAACTATAGTGTGAATCTTGTTGGAGGGAGACACAACTAGAATTCAACCCAAGATTTAGCATTAAAAGTTGAGCAAATTCAAAAAGACAAATTAACCACCCATAGTTGGCTATTAAAGGAAAAGCAGCTTGTTAAATTGAAATATGTTTTGGAAGTTCAGAGAAAGGATTTGGCCTTTTAATTAACCTTATCGACACATTTACAAATTGTATTCTAATTAAAATCCAAAGTGAATCCAAATCCATATGTGAATCCAATTCACATATGAAAGGAAAAGAAAATTGCCAAAGCACACAGAATTCTGTGAATCTATTGCAGGCAATCACATTTCTATTTTTTTTTTTTTTTTTTTTTGTAGTTAATGCTGCTATTTTCTGCTATTTACATTTGTTTATTTTTTTAATCACATTTATCCTTCAAACAACTTATCAAGACTCTTTATGTGTAAATCACTTATTGACTCTGCTGTGAGTAATGAAAAGAAGCCGGCTCTGGGTTAACTTGCCCCTTCGCCGATTTGTCTCATTATTTTATCCTTTTCTTATAACCGTAAATTACAATGGACTAAACAGCTGTGTGCCTGTTTCTTTCATTTTCTTATTGGTCGTGTATCTTCATTAAATATTGAAGTAATTCACAGAAAAATATTCAAATCTTAAATTTGATGTAATTTTATTTCTAGATTTTCTGCAGATCTTGTGTTAAACTGTAATTCTAATTAGCTGAATATTACAAACCGATTTCCATAAAGTAAACTCTGGGTAGATTTTAGAAATTTATTTAGAAGGTCAAGGTTGGACAGCTGATGTTTGTTGCCATTTTGCACCCTCAAATACTTGGGACGAAAGGAACAAAGCTGTAAAAAGGAGAAATGGCGAAGGGGCGATATTTGCCCAGATGAGCCAGCTATTGTGAGGTTGTGTTTTATATAAATGTTTGTCTCATTATCTTGTGGACACAGTAAGCTCCATCTTCCCAGAAAGCTGCCAGCCCTTAATGAAGGCGAGAGCCTGGTTAGTCCAGTGCTCCAGCTGGGACCCAGAGGAACTAGATTTGTTGGGTAGGAACCAAGCATACTGTAGCTTCTTTCTCTACCCCCCACCTACCCCCAGGACACAACATGTTGAGGCTGCTCCATCCTAAAGGATTTTGTTGCCCATCTCTGTTGACCTCAGTTTATCAGGTTGTAGCTTTTATATGGTTTTCATGTAGTTTTGGGAAGAAAATGTATTGTGAGTCCAGCACTGCTACGTCTATTTCTAGCAGCAGCATTACAGAGAGAAGTTCCTTTCTTATAGTTTTCACCACTTTTGTTCTTCCTAAAACTACGTATCTTGGCTTCAATTTCATTGCACTTACTTTGCAGCCACTTCATTGTATGGCGCCTGCCCCACTTGCTGCCATCCCTTGGAAAGATGTGTAAAAGGCCTTTAAATATTGTCTATATGATCTGCATTAGTCAGCAAATGGCCGCAAGAAAATTTCACCTTAAATTAAATCATGCATTTTTAAACCTTCAAAAAAAAAACTTGGCATACATATGATGTAATATTTTACTTTTTCCACTATATTTTTGCATATTATTATATTTTTGTGGTAATATTTTTTTCTTGACATCTAAGAAAAACACTTGCATTCAGTGCAAAGTACGACATGTCAAAACACATTTTCACAACTTAGATATTATATGAGCAGTCGCTGTCACTGTGCAGATTAGAGCTGAGTCGTCTCAGCTCTGTGGTTTTTCCAAGACAATGAGCTGAACAACTGCTACTCAAAGAGCAGAATTTATGAGAATACCTGCAATGCTTTAATCAAAGGAAATACCCCTTTGGGCATGACCAAATACCACATAACATTCAAAACATAGTTTGTAATGCAGAAAAAATGATTTTGCTTTTATATCAGCTCTTTAAAGGACTGGAGCTGAAAGAAAATGCTGGACTAGGCTGGACTAAGTTTCTCTTTTGACCAAAGGAGAGTTGAAAGGGAGGTAAAGTTTAGAATAATATTTTGGGATCAGAAAATTCTGTAAAATTAGGTTTCTTTTTATGTGCTAACCTGAGGGTTTATTCATAAAACTCATTCAGAAGAGCCAGACATAACTGGGCAAATTGTGTGAAGCCACAACTGCTGTGTTTTTCCAACACGGACCCCTTGTTTGCTTAATGTCACTGATGCAAGACAGATCGAGCAGCAGACCATGCAGTCGACCAGAGTTCATTGGCAAACCATGGCCTAACAGGAAAGTGCAGCACATTTTATTGATAGAAAGCTATCGATCTTTAATTGGAAAAAAAGGGAAACTGTTGCCATCAATAAAGTCAGGGAAAGAGGATGGAAGCAGTGATAGATTCATTGCATAAATAAACTGTTTTGGAATATATATTTACTTAAGTTGAATAAATAGTTTTCCAGCAGTTGTGGATATGTCGAAAATACCCTTTTGGCCCTTATATAGAGTAGATCAGAAGCCTATTTTGAAAACATGCTGTGCGATGAAGAGATGAAAGCATTATAGAACTTGGTCAAGGGTCTCTCATTGTTTATGCACCAATATTATTAAATGTTCTGAGTCAGCTGAGCCTCACTGTCTAATTACCAAAAGGAGGGTGTTCAAACCGTTAACCATTAAGGTGCTAAACTGTGCCAGTAGCAGCTTTGTAAAAATGGCAACACCTTTTTAAAGGGTTGTCACTGGATTATGAATAATTTTTTTGTTATTTTTAATGATCTTTAGAAGGGTCAGTGTAAAGGGAGCTTAATAAGCTATTTGATTTTGTAAGCTCTCAGTTGACTTCACTCAATGTGGAGGTTTTAATTGGCTGTTCAGACTGGACTGCGCTTTGCTGGGCATGAGACATCTTTTACCCTGAAACACAGCACCGTCCTGCCTTCCTTCATTTCCATTACATCAGCATTAAAATCATTTTTTCTGTCATATCTTTATTTTCCTGTTTTTTTTTCTGTATGTTTTATTAAAGTGTACTTTATAATGTCAGAATATTAGTCATGCCCACAGCAAACAGATCAGATGAATGATTGATGTAAATAAATAAGTTATATTTATTTATATATAAATATATATTTATTAATATATAAATGGGGGAGTGGCGGCCTAGTGGTTAGGGCAGGGGTCACCAACGTGGTGCCCGTGGGCACCAAGGGGCCCTCAAGGACCACATGGGGGGCCCTCTTCGTCTTCTGAAAACAGAAGAACTCACTTAGTGGATTGTTTAATTTTTTTTTTATTCTGTTGCTCTTCTTTTTAATCATTTATGTATTCTTCCATCATGTTAACTATTTCATCATATTTTAGTGGTTTCAAAATTACAATATTAAAAAGAAAATTAGAAATGAATAAAACAATGAAATAATAATAAAAAAAATAATAAAAATAATAAAAATGAGTATATGACATAAAAAAAATAAAAAACATATTACTGTCATAATAATGTCAAATTTTATAGATTCTGTATTTCTTTTTTTTTTAACTGGACATTATCTGTCACGATTAAATAATAAACATCTTAATCATCCTAGCAATAGAGCCAGGAATTTAACTTGTTTATTTTGATTCATTCATTAGAAACATTTTAACATATAAAAAAGTTAAAGCAATGAATTGCATTTTCATATATACATACTAAAATAAGAAAGAACCTTTGCACTGACTGTTTCTTGTACTTAAATCTGATGCACAAGCGAAATCACAGGTATTGGTGCAGTGGGGGTAAAAAAAAAAGCGTTTTTCATGGAGAGAAATTATAGAAAATTGTCATTTCATGGCATCAGTCCTAATCACAGTAATCTGGATGTTTATTTAACAATTATGTCAGAGGCCACAGGTCGAGAGTCTGTACAAACCATGGAAGTGGATTTTCTCCATTAGCCCCATTAGGCTAATTGGCTTTCCCCGATCGTAATAAAACCTTTTTTTTTTTTTTCAGTGAAATATGAGATCCAACAGGATCCATTTTAGATTTTTTTGTTTTACTTTTGCACTGCAACCTTTCACTGTGAAATACCTATTTGGTTAATAGTACCTTTAACAAAAACTACTACTAAAGAATTTTTCTTTGAAGATAAAAGACTAAAGAGGTCAACTCCTGCAAGTATGAAAAATCCATGTGAAAAATTGTAGTATTGCAATAAGTCTATGTGCATCCCCATTGTCTAAAAGTTCCATCCATCCATTATCCATCCATCCATCTATCCTCATTCTCAATCATTCATGTGAATTTAGAGTTTATGTTGATTACCTGATAACTGTGAGTTTGAGCCTGAGAAGGTGGGGTTGGGGGATGTGGACTTAAAGAGTGTTTGTCAGGAGTGTTGTAACTGCTTTGAAGAGGTGTTATCACTTAACTAATAAAATCTTATATTTGTTCTATTGAGACTTCACACTCCTTTCTGTTACCATCATGCCTTGTATCATTATGGGCTGTGCAGCTTTTTATCACCTTTCATGATATTCTATGCGTTACATTTGCCCTGATTGTCCCATTACCTCCCTATGTCAACCATTGGAGCTAATTTTATTTAGCACTGTCATCATCAGAAATTTGTTTATGTGATGTGGAAACCAGCACATTCACCTTATGTTTGTTTTGTGGTAGCTCTGCTCTGTTCTATATCTGTGTCCATTTTGATTTTTGCGGAGCTGCAGCTTGAACCCTGTCATTTTTCATATTTCAAATGATCATTTGACATCACTCTCTAAAATTAATCTTGCTTTCTGATTTTTATTTTATTTTTTTTCAGGTTTACTTTAACTTTTCATTTCAGTGGAGGGAAAGGAGGTAATATTAATTAGGCCTTTTGTCTCTGACATGTCCCCTGCTAGGCCTGTGATAGTAGAGATCCCACATTTTGCCTCAATGCGAGGCCAGGAGAGGGAGCTGATCCTGCTGCGCAGTGAGAATGGAGAATCCTGGAAGGAGCATCTCTATGACTGCAAGACGACTGACCTCAATCAGCTTCTGAATGGGATGGATGAAGGTGAGGCGCCCCAACTCATTTTTACATTTCATAGCTATTGTTTGCTCTGCCTTGCATGCAGAGCCAGAGATATGTAACTAATTATGCAGCATAAAAATCATACCAGATAACTAGTAGGTTTTTGTGTTAATGGAGAAATCCCCTTCTTCAAACGAAGCAAAATGTTCTTTTAATTCTGGGGCAACGAGCCAGCAGTGCAAAAGATCTGTAAATTAATGTTAATTTTTTTCACTATGAATTTAAGGTAAATTACTGGCTACTAATTGCATTACTTTTACAGTAATATCACATTAATTTACTGGGAATATGTATCCAATATTTCCCTGTAAATATATCACAATAAGTAATTGTGAGTATTTGTTACGTCCACAAGGGCACAACATATTTGAGGACACATACAAAACTAAGGGTACTAAATAATTTATTTTTATTTCTTCTTTTTTTTTAACTCTCAAACACTTTTTTTCTCAAATCAGCTGTTTCAATGGTCTGTAGAGAGAGAAAAAAAACATGAATTAAATATTTTCAGCTGCTGTGTCAAAAAAAAAGAGGAAAGAAGGAAAAAAAAAAAAAGAAAAGACCAAAAAACCCAAAGTAGCCAAGAAAGTTGGACCTGGTGAGCCGATAAAAAATGACAAAACGGTACAGAAGGGGGGCCAACCCTATACAGGGCCGTCGAAGCTTCTACTAGTACTGGACTATAGCAAAAATAAACTACTAAAAGAAATAAAGAATCGAAAATAGGACCACTGGTCTCACCAGGCTAAAATCATAACGAAAACAGCATCCAAACAAATGCTAACAAAAAAAAAATCAGCTGCAGCCTACAGCAACTAGAGATCGGTGCGCCTCCTCTGTGGTGGAGATGAACGATCAAGCAGAAGGGCGGAGTATGGAGGACCAACTCTGCCATATTTAAAAATAAATACAGAAATAAATAAATGCTCAATAAATAAATAAGCATACAATTAATTGCAACCAAAAATACAAGTTGACTATCTAAGACACCCCCCTCCTCATTTGCATAATGAGGCAGAAATGCATACAGAAATGTATAAAAGGGCAGGCAGAAATAAACAGCGGCGAAGAAATAACTAGGGTAAAAAAAATACAAAGGAAGAATAAAACAGACAAAATATTATAACATGCACATAAATAAATACTTAAAAAAATAAAGTGGAAGATAATAAAGGACAAAAAAATAAATAAGGTAAATATTACAAAGGCAAATAAATAAAAAAGCTAATTAAAAGAGTTATATATATTTATGTCTTACTGTATAATTTAATTTCTACTTACATTTATTTGTTCATTGTATTTTTGGTGGCAATTAATTGTATGCTATTTATTTATTGAGCATTTATTTATTTCTGTATTTATTTTTAAATATGGCAGAGTTGGTCCTCCATAGTGGAGGCCCTCCCAAATCAAAACCCAGCCTATTTATAGGCAGTCCAACAGCCACTAATTAACGAGGCCAAATTGATTACAAAAAAAGTATCCAAAATCCAAAATATACTAAACAAAAACTTCTTCAACTAAAGTCAATATTAAACCATCTAGAAAGAAAAATGAACAAAATAAATATGTGCCCATAAAAGTATTTCACAGTAATTTCCACCAACATTACAGATACATGTAACTTCAGTTACAATCATGGATTTACATGCTTATTGTCAGACATTTACTGCAGTATATTTTTGGTCACAAAGAGCAATGGTCATTTTCAACATGATGTAAAACGGCAGATTTAGAACCATATCCAGTGATTTTTCTATGCTTACCGTCTGTGACTGTCAACACTCAAATAATACGTACTGCCCATAGAACAGTTTGGATTTATATTAAATTTCATTTAACTTTTAGGTAGCATCTGAGGGCAGTTGATTGCTCAGGACTTTATTTAGAAGTATTAGATTACAGTTTGTTACCAAATATGCCCTACTTTTTTTTTCCATCACATAAAACCTAATTATAAGCATAACAGTTCTGGTTTTAATGTTAACTTAGTGGAAACGCAGGGTGCAGGTGGCTGTTAGTGTGCACGACCCATGCACAGAGGCCTTAGTCTTCGACGCGGCCGACCCGGATTCGAATCCGACCTGTGGTCCTTTGCTGCATGTATCTCGCTCTCTCTCATACCCCCTTTCCTGTCAGCCTATTGTCAAAAAAAACAAGCCACTAGTGATGCAAAAACTCCAAAAAAACTTTGTTGAAACCACTTTTTGTGCTATACTATTTTGATTGTTTTTTATGTTGCTGATCTTCTACAACTTTAACCCTTTCCGTATAGAACTAGATAGTCCTGAGGAGCTGGAGAGGAAGAGGATCTGTCGCATCGTCACTAAGGACTTTCCACAGTACTTTGCTGTGGTGTCCCGGGTCAGACAGGAGACCCACCAGATGGGACCAGAGGGAGGAACTCTCTGCAGCCGGAGCGTCCCATTGGTCCAAGCTTCCTTCCCCGAGGGGGCGTTAACTAAGAAAATCAAAGTGGGATTACAGGTTGGTTTTAGGTTAAACATATCTGTTAGCACTTGTCTTTGAAATGCCACGACCTGCCGAAAAAATGCAACAAAATATAAATGTTTGGATCTCTCAAGTGAGCATCCCTTTCTAAGCGCCGTGTCTCTTCGGCCAGGCCCAGCCCATTCCTGAGGACACTGTGAAGAAAATCCTTGGGAACCGAGCAACCTTCAGTCCCATTGTTACCGTGGAGCCCAGAAGGAGAAAGTTCCACAAGCCCATCACCATGACGATCCCAATACCGCCACTCTCAGGGGAGGGGCTTACTAATGGTTACAAAGGAGACAGTACACCTTGCCTCCGCCTTCTCTGTAGCATTACAGGTGAGAGCTGGTCCAAAAAAAATTTAATAAAAAAAACAAAAAAACAAAAAAAACAGGGCCACCTTTTGGCCTTATACAAAAAACTTATTGTATTCCACATTTCAGGTTAATACAAAAACATTCAAAGAAAATAGAAAATAGAAAATAGATTTTACTCATAATAGACTAAATGGTGTTGGGATATAAAATCCACAAAGCATAATTCAACCCAAGTTTAAATTTTTTAAACAAAGTTAGAATTTATTTTAAATGTTTGATTGAATTCTAACCTGATATCAGTTAATAAAGCTATTTGACTATATATCAACTCATTAGATTTTTGGTTTATAGATAAATATAAACATTTAATAGACCTTTATGTTGGTTAAAGGTAGTGATGTTATGGAATGAGATGAGCTGAGGCTCCGAGGCATGTGTCAATTAGTGGAGAGGGCATTTCCGCGAAGCGCGTAACAAGGCTTCATTTAGCAGAGGAGCCAAAATTGATGATGTCCAAAGCCTTGTTACCCGGCCATACAACATCACCGCTTCAGTAAGTGGTTCAGCTCACAGCAAACTTCTGCAAGCATCTAAACAGCCTCATTATTCAGTCAAGATGTGGGCGTTTGTTGGAGAGTTGCAGTATTTGTCTAGAGCTTGGATATAATCTAAGAATAGATTGGCTATAAAAACAACCAATCTAGTTGGTTTATATTATATTGTTTAATTTAACCAGAATTGTTTTCATTTTGGTTACATTAAACAACATAATGATCAGAATCTGAGCAAGCCACTGGTATCAGTTGTAACATTAGTATTTAGTAGTATTCCTTTCTGATGAACAGTTACTCTTGCCAGTGATGTGAGCTTTAAGCCTTTCATTTGCAATCCAGAGGTTTTAGGTTCAAGACCTGCCTTTGACTTTAGAAAGTTGCTATAATATTAGCAAGTATTTTATGCCAATGTGGCCGATTTCACCAATATATATTGTGTAAAAATACCGCCAAATTAGATTGGTTGGTTTAACCAAAAGATTGGTTGGACGTCCAACCAGATTAAAACCCAAAATGGGTTTTAAACACCTTTCATTTTGCTCATCATTGCCCAATTTGCACAAGCACTTGAGCTTATTTCACTAAAATGAAAACAGTGTACCTAAAAAGATTGTTCACCCCTAAGACATTTTACACACAGAAAAAAACTTACAAAAGATTTTTATTATACACACCAGTCATTGACAATATCAACGGAACTTAAATGGGGAAAAAAAACAAAAAAAATAATTGCCCTAGCTAATCACTGAAGATGAGAGATATTCCAGGTATTTATTGTGTATGTCAACCCTAAAAATCATTAAAAATAACAGTTTTAAATAAAAAGGAATGACACAGCTGATTATGCAATCATCAATCCATACACAGGAGAAAAAAGCTGCATCCTTGCTTATAATAATATACGTATCGTTATTTTAGGATAGTTTTACATTTTGAAATGTTTCAAGGAACTTATAGTGACTTTATTTATGTTTTGGTCTCTAAAGATTCTTTTGGTTAGGATCAGGTTTTTTTTAAATGATGTTCTTAAACGTTGTGATAAAAACTTGACAAGGTAATACTGTGGTTAAATCATTTCCTTTGAATAAGTAATCAAAACCCTTTGATTTTTCCATATTTTTTAAACTCATCCTTCATCCTGTACTTTAGTTATGTTTAGTTAAGTTATGTAGCAAAATTGGGAAGTTGCATGCTCAATACAAATTATTTTGGTAAATCAAGAATCTTTTTCCTCCCAGATGTCTGTTTTATCTGTTAGTTTGGGATTGTTTGCTATTTGAACCTGAACAGTTTAAAGCACACTGATGCAGAATTAAAAAAAAGTATTTTAAGGAGGTTTAATGTCATGCTTTATGAAACTTGTTAAGACCATTAAGTGAGAAATGTTATCCGTGTGCAGGTGGTACATCTCCAGCACAGTGGGAGGACATCACTGGAACAACTCCCCTCACATTCGTCAACGATTGCGTCTCTTTCACTACCAATGTCTCTGCGAGGTGAAGCATAACACACAGACACCACATGATTTGTATTTGTGTATCTATGATCAGGCCAGCTGACAGCTTTGCTAGCGCCCGGGACAACACAGTCTTTTTCGGGCCCTCCCCTCTACACTTAAACGCCGTGTAGCCGGACTGTTCGCCAAACTTCCTAAAACCTGATATTCTTAGTTTGCAGCGAAACAAACTTTAAAAGTTGTAGCCCACTGTTTTTCTGGTCAAACCATTTTTATGTTGGGATGGGGGGAGTTCCAATGGCCGCTTATTTACAAAAAAACATGTATATATACTTAATGTAGATATATTTACATATTTAGTTACTCTAGTATTAAATATATTTTCACAAATATTTTCTGAAAAATGACTTGTGCCTGTATTTTTTAATGGGCCCCCCTCTGTCCCGGGCCTGGGACAGTTGACCCCTTTGTCCCGCCCTGTCGGCGAGCGTGTGTATGATTCTTCTACCTGTTTTTTCTGTTTTTGTCTCCTGATGCAGGTTCTGGTTAGCAGACTGCCACCAGATCCCAGAGACAGTCGGCTTGGCCACTCAGCTCTATAGAGAGCTGATCTGTGTGCCCTACATGGCCAAGTTTGTAGTGTTTGCCAAGATGAATGACCCTGTGGAGTCCAGCCTGAGGTGCTTCTGCATGACAGATGACAAAGTGGACAAAACCCTGGAGCAGCAGGAGAACTTTGAGGAGGTGGCAAGGAGTAAAGACATAGAGGTACATTTGGTTTATTTAAGATGGGGTCTGCTCTTCCGTTAAAAAAATGCATCCAAAATAAATGATATGTTAAGATACAGAGATTTATTACTTTGCCTTAACTCTGATCATCTAAAGTATATTACTTAAAACTTATTTGCGTCTTATGTTAAAATAACTCAAGCCCCTGTCACACCTTGCCGATTT